TCATCTTCATTGTCATCTTCATCGTCATCTTCATCGTCATCTTCATCTTCATCTTCATCTTCATCTTCATCTTCATCTTCATCTTCATCTTCATCTTTTTTCAAAACCATTTCTTTTGATACCCATATTGGGATACTTTATTTATTTTAATAAATAATTTGAATTTTATTTTCGTATATATGGCAACCCTTAAAAAAACAAAAAATCATATTACAAACCTACAGGTCAAGTCCTTTCATGTACATAGATCGTTAAGTCAATTCAAATCACCGAAAAAATCAGCACGTAACGACTCTTCGCCATTAGCGCAAGACTACCCCATCTCGTGATTTAATAAACAAATTATGATATATTTAAAAAAATAATGAATGCGGCATTATTAAAGATTCTAATTTTTTATATATTATAAAATGTAAAATTTTGGCTAATCTGATGAATGATGAAAATTATAAAAATTTGAAATCGTTCTGGTCGAGATACAGCTACAATCTTAATAGTAACAAGTAACAAAAAAAAGGCGCTGTGAGTTACTCTCCACTAGTTATTTCAATGATGAAATCTCATTTGCAAATGCAAGGCTACTTAGCTCATGGAGTAATTGTATAGGCCTTTTATCGCCCAGATCGATTTCTGATAGCAATTTTTTTATCTCCTGCTCGTTGCCACAGAAACGCTCGATAATGCATTTTTTTCAAATTCTCTTATTTGCCAATTTCGGGTGGATTTAACGTTTATGTCAACAGAAAAATTATACGTACGTCAACAGCAGCATACCCGGGTATGCACATACATTTTGTATGGGAAATTGCATTGTGTTGTGACGAAAATGTGAATATTTAACACATTTATTTTAATCTGTCTAAGTCTTTATTGTTATTTTCTATAAAATATGTTTACTTTAAGTATTTACAACAAGATTTGAAATATATGTTATTTTACTGTATAAATAAGTAATGAGTTTCTCAGACCACACTTTATGATCGTGGGTTTTGAATGTATATGCGAAGAGGATTGTTTAGGTACAAAATTTTATAATTAAATATATGAGAAAAAGGTTTTTCAAGTAGACGAAAATAACACAGCCACACAAAAAAAAATTTGTGTTCTGACCCAAAGGTCTCAC